GCTTTGCAGGGAGATTTTTTTTTTCGTTTTCTAGGCCTCCTTGCAGTTTTCAAGTAATACTTCATTTTGAGACCTGAATCCAGGCACCAGGCATACTGGCAGTTCAGCCTTCGCTCAGTTGGCCAAGCTCCCCGCTCCTGCCATCCTCCAGCTTATGGGGATGGTCCGAGCTGGTCGTGGGGGTGTGAGGTGGGCTGCTGCCCAGAGGTCCGACTCGCCTCCTCTTCGCTGACCGCTCGACTCCACACTGCGTTTCCAGCATGGAAAGGAAAGGGAGGATTAGATCCGGAGAGTCGAGGTCTGTGTGAGGGTGGGGGATGACGTGAGACTCTGCGCAGGAGGGACAAAAACCGGCAGCAAAATGACCTGCAGAGACTAGACCCATGGGGGCTGCAGGCAAAAAAGTGAGACATGGTCCAAATAAATGTGGAGAACACCCAGGAGGAAGAATAAAGAGCGCAGATACAATCTCACCACGCTGCCGCACCCTCCACATTAAGCACTGTTTTAATTCTGTCTGATGAACACTGTCCTACTATTCAGTTTTCATGTTCAGATCTCCCTGTTTGCCAAAGGGAAAGTGTTGAACAGGGAGGGGAGCTGCTACCTGAAAGCTCTTGTGTTTCACACGGTAGCTCACAGCCGTCTCTGAAGAAAGAGAAACGCCGTGCTGGAGAAACAGTGATACATTTGTTTTCAAGTTTAGAGGCTGAAATGAAATTAAGTGTAAATGTATGCCAAGCAATGAAATCAGATTTGCTTACTAATCGAGATTGCATCTCCTTTTTCCCCCCTCACAACAAAACTAGCAGTACCAGTAACTGTGCCTGCGTCACCTCTTCCTTCCTTTCCTGCTTGCAACCCAATCCTGCCATGCTCCTGCGGGAGAATTTCCCAGGAGGCTGGCCTACAGCAGGAGGAAATAGAGGTCAAGACGGCAAGAAAAGAGATGAGGAACATGGGAATTGGGAGAAAGGCAACAGCGACGTGAGATCTAGGAGAAACGTGCCCGCTGTTCTTTAAACCACTTAGCTTTTCCACCAAAAAGGGCATTAGGGCCTGCTTCTGCATTTCAAAGGGAATTTGGGCTGAGCAAGGAAGGCTGGCTCAGCTGGCCTCTGTGGGTGAGGGGGAGAGAGGGAAATGCTTGGTGTCAGCATGGAAAAATCCCTGCTTTATTAGGTAATTCTGTCAGCTTCCCAGTTTACCCTGTCACTTCCCTGGCCCTTCCCTTTCCTTTGGAGCCCTCTCTCCAAAGGTGACCTGCCTTAACCCATACCTTCCTGCTGCTTTCCAGTCTGTGGAGCACAGTTACTACTAAAGAGTATCAAAACCACACTATCACCTCTGTCCTGCTTTCAAATTAGCTTATTACCAGTGGTTTTAAACTGACCTTCTTCATCAGGAGGAATAAAAATAGTACAAATACGTTATTTTGCCTTCAGAATGACATGCAGCATCATTTCTTATCTATTGATTTAAATAATTTACCGTTTCAGAAAGAACAAATCACCTTAATTTTAGGGGATACTTAAAGGTTGAGAACGATTTTGTATCAACTAAAATTAGTGATAATTCATTTATGATGGAACTAATAATTAATTAGGTAGTTGCTGCTTATCTTTTTTCTAATACATACATTGCTTTTAAACATCTGCTCAGTAGTCCAGCATGAGAATGATTTTACGTGAGAGCAATAGAGGAGCAGATGCTTCCTGATGACAACTTCCCAATTTGTTTAGGAAACAGTTCCTGGATTCACAGTTTTAACTTGAAGCATGGCAAGCATGCAAGCAAATTTGCGAAGCAGAAACAAAAAATTGAGAAATCAAATTACTTCATAGCATTTTTAATGATTGCAATTTGGTCAAAACTCCTTTTTTGTTAATGTTTTAATTATTTTTTTTAATGCAGATATGTTTGTTTTGTCTTTACAAGGTCTAAGCAAAATTATGAATTTGCTTTGTGATGTGTGTACATGTATGAATGTTTTGCAGCAGTTATGGAATCTTCTGAAGTGAAAATTGATTTCAATATTGTCTATTACAGTAACTAAAATTCAGCATTAGCTCAAAAAGAGGTAGAACAACAGTATACATAAAAAGAAACTAGAACAATTACTTGAAAATATTTAAATAGGCTATCATAAGACATATATAAAAATAAAATTCTGTGGGGTTTTTTTTATGTTAAGCCTGTGTTTTATATTTATGGCTTTATCAGTAGTTGGTTAAAAAGTGAAAAATAAGTCTCTTCTTTTGGGCTGATATAAAACTCTCTGAGGATCCATGGCTTTATTCAGCCATGCATGGATTTTTAGATGTTCCAAAGATCGCCTAAAATGACTGTACTCATTTATTCATCTCATCAGCAAAGTTCATCTCATCAGCTAGAGAGATACCATCAAAACTTTTAGGCTCCAAAATGTACTTCCCCTGCATAAATACTGTGCGTTGTACTTACAGAGACTGTAAAGTACAGGATTACACATCAGTGCTGTATCTTTTTATGTAAGAAATCTTGAATCTGCTGTTTGCTGAAAGGAAAGGGGATTAGAGGTAGCCCTAAGAAGGATTCAGCTATCTCCCTTTGTATGCAGATCACAAATGCCGTGTGCCCGCTTGTCACTAGAAACAGCAGAATAAGAGATCTGAGTATCAGAAACTTATTTTGAATAAGTGTAGGAACTTTGTAGTAGACCGAAGTCCATCTTGTTACAGAGCAGAAGAATGTCAATTTCAAAGCTTCTTTGAGCATTGCGTTCAGCTGAATGCTTGATTTCAGAAACTGCCTAAACTACCAGTCAAAAAAATCCAGGATAATGCAAATAAATGTGTCCAAACATACTCTGCTCTCTGAAAGATATCATTATTTATGTGAGGGTGTACAGTCATTATACCTTTACATACAGAAAGCAGGAGAGAGAAGTATGTGTATACATACAGCTTTTTTCTAGAACAATAGTATTTAAAACATGAATATGTAGTCTTGCCATTTCCAGGAGAAGTATTTTTTTAGGGCAAGGTAAGCTAGTGACTAAGCAACAGGCAAGGCCATAATACCTGACAAAACATTAATGTCTGTAAAGCAGTATGCTTTTGATTCCAGGAGGTTGATCCAGAAGGGTTTTGTAAATTTTAACATAAATTTAGTTCCGAATACAGACTCTTTCTCTTTCCCACCCCTACGAATTTGAAAGCCAATCTGTAGTCGTTTTTTGTTTTCTTTTCCCACAGGCTGCTGCTCTTCTTTCTTTTACTATTCTCACTAAAGCACTGAAAATGGATCTGTTTTAAAGAAAGTTCAGCTTACGATAGACAAGAAATTTCTGTTTTCCTCAAGAGATTTTTTTTTTATCTGTATCTCACATCTGATCAGAGGGTATGACATGTGTGAAGAGGAAAAGAACTTGTCCGTTACGCATTTACATGGGGACTGGGCATAGCATACCTAACTTTAGCAGGCCTGTGAAGTCAGATGCAGTAATCATCATTGTCCCTTCTGGCATGTTGTCTTTAGTATCCCTTCACACTCAGTTTTTAAAACTAGGTTAACATAGAGAGCACTTTCTTTAACATTTCCTTTCAGTGCTTTAGGTATCTGTTTCCTGATAAGGTAAAATCAACCATTCCTGCAGCTGTCCAGAATTTCCCAGAAACCTTCTCTTCTGTGAGCATCTATGATTTTCTCATTTAATGTCCAAAAATATATTTACAGTACCTTGGTCTGTAGCTTCCCAAGGTCTGGGCTTTCCATTTGTGATCTTCTATCCATGTCCCTCAGCAGCATCTGGTTGTCTAATACACTAAATTTGGGGGAAATCACTTTTATGTGGGCTATCAAAAAAAATTGAAAGTATTTTGTGTGTCATTACTCTTACAGTTTATCAGTTCTTATATCTCTTCATAGATCGATTCAATGCTGAGTTGATTTAAGGATGTGAGATAAAAATGCAAAATAGCTTTAAATTTCTTGTGTGTTAAACCAGCATAGTGTTCAAAGGATGCTGGTTCTTCTTTTCTGTTCAATCTTTTTTATTTTGCTTGGACAGAGACAGTAAGCCAATATTCACAGTTGCTTGGCAATAGTCAAGTTGTGAAATGCACACCCAACCTGTGAGGCATTATGGTTGCTTAGTTCATGCATGTAAATTTGGGGGTTTGAAAACTGAACAAGTCCACACCCATAGTGTCTTCTTGGAAAGTTTGTTCTAACTTTTAGTCTTAATGGCATTATTAATTTAATGATTCCATTTTCAGAGATGTTGAATATCGACAATTTTTAGAAAAGTCAAAACTGGGTGCTTAGGACTGTTTGAGTATTAATTTGAAATGTTAGGAAGTTTATGCTGCAACTGGGGTATATCTCAGTGCAGTAAGTTCCATCTCTTCTGATTTATTTCAAAACTACAATAAACTGTAATTACTTTACACCTGAAATATACATTAACAGGAAAAAAATCATCTCAGTTCTAGACGTATTATCAGCAAAAACAACCTCTGGCAAAAAGCCTTTAAAGAAAGTAGAGCAAAAAATTTTTGGTGGATACATTCAATTTGTCTTCTGGCAAGCAAAACCAGATTATTTAAGGATACACTTTTAAAATGGTCTATTCTAAAGGTAATGAGGAGCGATGCAGCTGTAGTCACCTTATCCTACCAGTTATTGTGCCATAAAGATTTTAGAGAGCTTCTGCCTTTTGCTTACAAAAGCAGCCTGCACTTAGAAAGACTTCAGTTCTGCAAATGCTTACACATAGTTCACAGGGTGTGGAAGTAAGTCTGTAAGATGTCTTTGTAGGTTTTGGAGTTTTGTGATTTTCTTGCTAGTATTGAAAAATTCCTTCGGGAATTTACATGAGTAGTGCTGTGAAAGGGGTGATTGCCATTATTTCTGTTCTTTATATTTATTGAATTTATTACAATAGTAGTAATTACTTTTCCCTTGATACAAATACAAAAGTCAATGTATTACTGTGTTCGTGTTTGTTGTTTTAGGAGTCTTTGGATGATATTCAAGAAGCTGGAGTTTGTGCGACAGAAGAAGTGATTCGCTATGAATATCATGTCTTGTACTCCAGCAGCTACCAAGTACCTGTGCTTTATTTTAGGGCATGCTTTTTAGGTAAGACCAATCTTCTATTAGACAAAGGCCAGAGTAAAAATATGTTGGATGCAATAGATGTTAAAACCACAGATTTTGTATTAAATTGAGGAGCAGAGTAATGATCATATGTAATAACAAAGTAAGAGATGAAGCTGTTCACCAGTAAATTTTGTAATACTCACGACACAGAGCTTCAGGAGCCTGGAGTACCTGATATCATCTTAGCCTGAAGGATGCTGATCTTTGGCTCCTGGCATCTTGCCTGTGGTTGACTAAAACTGCTGGTCATTTTTCTTGTTCTTTAAGTGAATACAAAAACTTAAAGCTGCAGGTTTGAATTTGGCTGCAAAATAAGTGGACATAATTACAGTGCTTCAGCAGAACTGTGTCTTTCTCTGGAGCGTGAATTTGAGCCACAAGGCTGGGGTCTAAATGTGCCTTTAAAAGTGTATGCTGTTTGCTATTTAAATTTGCTGCTTAAAAAAAAGTAAAATAATACCAATAAGATATTGCCTTTTTCTATCTATTAAAACTGGCTCTTGAAACACTAACTGATCTTCTTTCCTCCCTAATACGTACATCTTGTTACCCATTACTCAATTGCTATAGCCACTGTGATTTCACTCACCATCCTGTCAGGAAGGAAGGAGGAACACACAGCCTCCCTCCAAGGCTGCTGTTAGTGTCACTTATTTAATCAGCAACCATAGAGTGATCACGCTGCAGCACTGGATGTGCTCTGTTCCTCTCTGCCCGAAGACTGTGTACCTAGGGTGGAGGGACTGAAATCTTCTAGTCATTTCATTCAGTCTCCTGTATGGTAGCATCAGCATCTTCTGTGTTTTGAATAATCTCCTAACTTTATCTAGATAAAGATGTCTGAATGTTGCCAGTGATATCTTTTCCTTTTTAATTAAAAAGTAGCTTAAGCTGCTTTGAATGTGTTTGGTAGATTTAATCACTCTCTGCCTTATATTGTTTAATGGTTTCTAATTTTGCAGTGTTAGCATTTTAAAAGGCACTTTAGATTTAAAATTGAAGAACAAATTCTCATAGACTCCCTGGTGGAAAAATTTTAGTCTGAGGTGCAGTTTCAGGAATGGATAATTTGGGGTAAATTTTCAAACTGGGACATGGGGAATTGGGGACATTGCTCTGCCTTTACCACCAACAGAACTCATTTGCACACATCCTGCTGCAAATACATTTCTAGAATTATTACAAGCATTTACAAATGTGCAATGTTTTGCCTTTAAACTTATTGTGCAGACAGGAAGATAAAGAAAGTTTTGCTGGAAGAGACAGATTAACCTATTTGTGGTCCTGAAAAATGTCATCTTCTTGGTTTTAGCTGAATTAATAGTGCACTGTCTCTACAGAAGAGGATGGAGACACTGCAGGTAGAGGAAATAGGACACTATTTCTACTGTACTGTACTTTCATATAATTAGTATTCACCATAAGCAGTTAATCACCAGAGAAGAGCTCCCAGAGACAAAACAAGTTGTTTAGCTTGTCAGCATCAGGGAATCGGAGGTGTTGAAACATGACTCCTTATAGCTGGAAGTGGATATTACAGAAGCTAGTGGATGATCTAATGCACAATCATAGTATTATGTGCCAACAGCTCCCCTTTCAGTACAAAACTGTAATTGTTCCTGCAAGTACAATTATGTTTTAAAACATTTCTGGGGAACCTTTCACGATGGAAAACAAGGACTTTTAAGATAATTTCTAAAGTCACCTGGGTTTTCTTCAGCATTTAACGTTCTCTTTTAACATTTAACATTCTCTGACTCTTGAAGAGAGAAGGATACAAAATGCTGGCAATAGTACTTTTCCTATAATGTTTTGAGCTTGTATTCTCTGATCATACTTACGGATAGCTTACTTTTGAAAATGAAAAATTCTGTCATCCCTGCAAGTTATTTGCCTGCCTGTGCCATGCTGTCTGAAGGTCTCAGCGTGGGTTTTTCAGGAACATGCAGATGACACTCACTCACAATCACTTGGGATATCTGAGCAAAGTATCTTTTGTCTTGTCCTGAACCTGTATGAGGAAAACTGTAGGTAATGCCCTGACATTTTTTTCCTTTGAGGTAATAGTCTTCATGTGATAGGCTCCTCACCTTGTTTCTCAGACAACTAGTAATATTCACTGCATTCCTCATCTGAAATAATCAGGGAAGAATCTTCTGAGACCTACATCAATTTCCCTGTCTAAATTCCTGCCATTATTTGTAGATAAAGTAACAGAATCAGTTCCTCACAAGTCTCTTGTGAGTTGTTCATGGTTCCCCTTGAATCCTGTCCATACTGATCCTCATGTTAATTAGAGCTTTTTGAAGGAGCTGAAGGTGAGCTATAATCCTTTCAGTGTTTCCACAGCCCTGCCCCGTCTTGCCTTTCCCAGCAGCAGGGCACAGAATTTGAATTCAAAACTCTGCTTCTTCTCTGGCAGTATGTTAAGTGGCCATTACACCTTGAGGCCTGCCTAGGAAATAATAATTCTTCTCTTCAACCTGACTAAGTAGTTTTGCTTGTTTTGCAATATTCACTTCCTCACTTCATATGTTATAATAGCAACTGGTGCCAGCCTGTCCAAATCTGTGCTCTTCCAAGTAGACTCCCTAAAAACTTTTCTAGAACAGTTAAATCCTGCCTTTTTCCCATCGTATGTGAGTCCAGTTTTCATTGACTTGGTCTCTCACAGTCCCTTCTAGGAAAAAGGCTTCCAATAGTGTTGCTGGGGAGATTTTCCTGTCATCTTCAGTGTGGTTGGCATATTCAGGAGCTTGTGTCAGTGAGGACATCCAGTTTCAATCCTCTCTGCTAGCAGTTGTGCTCAGACATTACAGATCAGTTCCTCCTGCAGAAAGGCAAAAGTTGCATTGTATCCTTATCCTTTCTGCTGTCTAAATTGGATGAAATAACTTATTTTCTGGAATTCATCTTTAGACCTCTTTTTTTGGTGAGGTGAAGTTTGATATGTAATGTAGTGCAAGATAAGGGGTTGAAATTTTAATTGCAACAGACCTGAACCACTTTGAGAGACAGCTAAACTTTTTGGTAGTCTCTGGGTATAGATTTACAGGGAAGATCTTGTTCTGTGCAAGGGCAAATCCTTCAGCTGAAAATAACGATTCAGTGTGATGACTGTCTGGAAAGATGTTTGGGAACATTATAGGTTACAAGAAGGTATTTTTAGGCTACGTATATATACATGTAAGAAACATTTTTCATTACCTCGTGATACTTCCCATGTGGCATATATTCCTAAATTCAGACCTACTGAAGTCCCAGTCTGTGTCAGGAGCTCAAGGCAGTGGTCCTCAGTACCTCAGAATCTCGGAGAACTAGGTGTCATTTCTCCAAAATCAGTCTCAGGCATGCCATACCTTTTGGAAATGGGAGCCCTTCTTTCTTTCTCTGGCTTCTGAGACTACCAAATAGGTAGCTGAAGAAATGCGTGAACCCCTGCTGGTATCTGATGTCAGCAATTAGCCCTCCTAGAGACAGATGGTATAGGCAATTAGCCTTCCCGTTCAATGCTGGCATCAGCCAGATGGGCTGGGCTAGGTCCAGTAAGCTTTCTTTAATCAGCAGAGTGTTTTCCCCTTTTCTTAGTCTTTATGATGTCAAGGAACTTTGGTCTTTTCCTGAACTGTCATTGTCTGAAGCCATACGTTCAAAAACCTCTTGCACTGATAGTGAGGTAGCAGCAACATAATCACAGGTGGACACAGGCATCACTCAGGAATCACCCTGCACATTAAGAAAATAATGGCTTGTCTCACACTTCTGTCTTATTTTTCCTACAAAGGTAGAGGAAGAATCATGAATGCTGGCTAAGCACTGGAAAGAAAGGGCAGAATAGGAGTCAATAAGGACTGCAGCCTAACTCCTCTAGGAAAGAGAGAAGGAATGGGATTTTCAAGTTGACCTGCTCAAAATATGTCTAACTCTCTGACATACAGATAGATCCGTGCCAATAAAAAACATGCTAATCAGTGGTTAGAGAGAGTGAGCTTGTAAGATAATGTAACTTCCTCCAACCCTGAAGGCATGACTTTCTGTATTCTTAACCATACTGGGCCTGACTGATGCACTTCCCAGAATACAGACTTACTCCCTGAACTCAAAAGCATGTAACCACTATGTCCTTTCTCAGAAAGATAGCTCCTCCTAAGACCATGTCCCATATGAACTGGTCTTATTGTGGCTTTGGACATAAGTAAAATAGAATAATCTGTATAATCAGATATTCTCCTAAGCTGTAAGGGTGTTTTTTCTTTTGTGGCAATGGTTTCTTAAAAGTATTTCTTTGGAAAGTATGCCAGAATGAAGCCTCAAAACAATTTGTGCACCATTTCACCAAAAGTGTCAAATAATCTTTAATTGGAAATCTAAGAATTTATTAAAAGCCCTCAGTAAACATCAAGAAAACAGAATATGTAAATGAGTTAACCCCAAGTGGACCATGAAGAAGCTTTTCTCAGAAAAGTTTGTTATAGTCTAGACAGTTTAAATAATAAAAATCTGAGTGTGGGCTAGAAAGGCTGTAATTGTTCTTGCCTGTTAAGGCAGATGAACTGGTTGATTCGAGCCCATAGTTAATTAATGGCAGAGACAGAACCCATGCTTAGGAGTTCTTGGCTTCTATCCTTTATCTCCTTTCTCTTAACAAAAATCTTAGTTGGTTACTTCCCAGGCTTTTTCGGCCTTTCTTGCTGGGTAGATGTCAAGTTTATTGTCTCAGAGTCTGCATTTTGCAGAGCCTGGGTTAGTATTGATGAGCTGATGATGTGTTGCCTGCCAGATTTGTGTCATTATGGGCATGGAGCTTCAGACAAAGGTACAGTAAATCTGGCATGACCCACAAGCAGCTGTTGCTGTGTGGTGTACATTTCCTTTCACCCTGTAATTATTTAATGAGGTGAATTATACAAAATGTACATATAACCACAAACTTTCACTTCTGTCTGCATACCTACTCCCAGCTAGACTTGGGACAAGCTGCAAGCACCTCAGCAGCTGTGTCATCATGGGTGGATGATGAGTAAATGTATTGCTGGGTGAATCTGAAGCCTCTGCCTTCCTCTCCTGCCACTTCTGTTGGCTTGATGCTGCTGTAGCCTTCTTTTTCTGGCTCAACTTTTTGAGTTCAGCTCCATCACAGGAAAGAATGAGACAAGAAGCAGAGAGGCTGCTTGGCTCAGCAGGTGCCACAGTGGCCCCGTGTTGCTAGCAGCAACAATTACAGACTGCTCTGTCAGCCCAGCTGGATATTTGAGGTCTCAGTGGGTAGCAAGAATGTGTAACAGGGGCTGCTAAACATGTGAATGCTGGCAGCCCCACAAAAAGGGGTCCAAAAATGCCCGAAGAATACAGATGTGTGTTTTGTGCAAATCTGGGAGCTTGCGAATAAAATGGATTCACTTATATTATCCTAAGCAGATGACCAAAGTCACACAAACCGAGGATTTTTAAAACATGCTTCCAGCCAGATTACCTGAAATGGTTTTTATCGTCCACACTTATCTTCTGACACTGAAACAGGAACAAAACCAAAACAGACTGCAAAAGCTCCAAACTCTTTCTTCTTCTTCCCCAGATGCTTTCTAACAAACAGTCCTTCTATGAATCGTTTTAAGATCTTGGTGTATTTGGTTTTTTTGGTTGTTTTTTTTTTTTTTAATGGAGAGAGAAAACACCAGGCTTTCAGGTATTCATCCCACAAAAGAGGATGGGGAAACTGTCCATCCACCTGTCTCTTTTTGCAAGGGTCCTGCAGTTCCCAGCTATGTAGCTGAACCTCACATCCATTTTAAGTGTTGATAACTTACTCTTTCCTGCTGCATCTGGCCTCCCATCTAGAAAACTGAGCTAGTCAGTTAAATAAGAATTTACAGGAACACAATACTTGGGAGCATGTATGAAAGTTTACTCAGTTTAAAAAACAGACTTAATTCAAACTCATTTAAAGCTTAGTGAAATATATTAAAATAGTGCAGAAGATTAAAAATGTAGGGAAATTTAAGTCCAAGCATATTTCAGTATATAAGTGCATAATCAGAATGCCTAGATCAATTTTTTATTCCTGTGTGAAACACTTGAATTACTCTATATTAACTATTGAAGTTTTTTACTGCCTGTGACCTCACTCTGATGTGAAGTGAAACTTTCAGTTTGGATATATTTGTATTTTTCTCTGAAATGAAAATAGTTCTATACTGAAATATGATGGAAGATACAGTGCTTCTCATACATGAAGTAATAAAATCCGTGAAGTAAAGACAAAACTCAATTTTAACTGTAATATGATTAATGGTTCAGTAATATTTGATCATTTCTGGCAATGAGATTAACAGTTAGAGTCAGAGTAATCCATTCCATGTGTACGATCTGAATTTGCTCAAGTGTTATTATAAAAACTCACAGATACAAAGAAGGTTGTACAGAACAAAATCTAGAGTGGCAAATCAAATTTTGCATTAGAATGTGTGTTGTTCTAAATTTTATGTTTGGACTTTCTCTGGATTCTCTTTGCAGGTTGAATAGAAAACAGAAAATTGCAAGTATGCATGGCATCTTGTATTACCTGCACACAGATGATCTGAGCATAAATGCATCCTTCTTAAGTTAACTTAGGCTCTTGTAACAAATTTCTTAATCAATGTTAGACCATCTCCAGCACAGTGCTGGTGTCTGCCATCATAAGACAGAGGGCATGATGGTCTGACAAGTCTCACGCTCATAAGGATGGCATAGTATAGCTAGTTAATATGCTGTTACCCCCTCAGATACTTTATTTGCTACATGCTTCTGCTATATGGTGCTTATATAAGATCAGAACTTGGTGCTTTTTGATAAATATGTGCGGAAAATAAGATAAAACAGAGGCTGTAGGCAGCTGGTTTTAACTTATATCTAAACATGGCATTCAAATGTTAATTGGGTGAATAAATCTTGTTCATTTTACAGACATGAAAATGTCAGTAGAATAAAACTATTTATCACAGGGTAATGTTTTCTGACAGCTAATAAATGCCAAGATGAATCTACTTATTGAAAGTATATAAAAATATTCTATTGCTGTTTGTCAAAAACAAATATTCAGTAAAAATTAACATGCTTATTTTCTAAGTGGTTGACACTAATATCTTGGCATAATTCTAACATCACAACTAAAAACCTGATGCAACAATGCTATATAAATGCAGGTCAAGAAAAAATTATGGTCATGTAGGTTACCAAAATGCAGTAAACTTTAGTTTGCAGAATTTTGTTCCTTAGATGTTTTCCACTCTCTCGCTATGAATTGTGTGTATTTATGTGAGATAACTGTTTATGATATTATTTAGTGGTTTTAAATTTATCTTACCCAAGCAGTGTTTTACAAAATTAGTTTAACTTCACACCTTACAACCAGAACAGTAAGTTGTTACTCTCAGGTGACAGAGAAGAAAGGTGAACAGGGAATTTAGGGTAGTTTTATATGCACCTTCAGTCAGGATTTGAGCAACGCTGTTTTGGAGTTACGGGGTCGGAAGGGGCTCAATCACATTTTGCTGTTATTTTTTCCATCTTCTTCCAGATAATCAGTATTTTCAGATTTACTTTTGCTATTCTGTATTCAAGATATAGCATGCTTAAGAGCTTTGACTGTGAGTGGTTGTTTCCTCCCCTCCGCCCAGATGGAAGACCTTTAACTCTGGATGAAATATGGAAAAGTGTTCATGCATGCTACCAGACTCGTCTGCTGGAGGGGCCCTGGGACACTATTACACAGCAGGTGAGAAACCACTGGTCCTTTACAAAATTGATGAATGCAATATATGCCTGAATCCTCAATGGCCTTATTCCCCTCTTGGACACATGTAAAATATATAAAAGTCTAACTGAGGTTGTGCTGAGCCAGTTACCAACAATAGTTTCAGTCCTGGATTTTGAAGGTTATAGAGGTGTTCACCATGTAAGACTTAATGTGACAATATCTTTTATTTAAAATACTTTTCCAAAGCCAATCCTGAAAACTTCAGGCAGTTTCTGAGTAATCGTGGATTTGGGTAAATACAAGAGTAGACTTATTTATATAAGTAAAATATATTAATGTAACATTTCACAGATTGTCTATTAATCAAATTACCAAAAAAGACTGTGTAATTTTCAATTTTAAATAGACTTTCAATCCTTAGGATTGAAGGATAGAAAATTGGTCTCTCAGTCAAGTAACAAGTTATTGCTGGCTAATGTCCTTAAGAATCAGTAGTTAATGAATGCTGTGTTTTGCAAGAGGAAGCAGATTAGTAAACTGTGATAGCACTGCCTTCTTTTAAAGCTATTCAAATCACTTTTATTTAAAGTGGTTTTAAAATCACCAGATCATTTCAGCAACCGTTCCCAGACTTGTCATGATGGCTCTCTTGAAAACAGTTAAACTTGTTCAAGGAAGAGTGAGATGTTCATAGCTGAGTCGGTTGCTCTGGTTTCTTCCCTTGGCCCCAGGCCTCCATGGTAAGTTTGGACAAAGAATGGAAACTCTAGGTGTGAATTTTTTATCATCAGACAAAGCTACTAATGTGTCCTTTCTTCCTTCCCTTTCCTTCCTTGACTTTCTGATTTTAGTTGTTTCCAGGTACACAGGTCTCTTACCACAGCAGCTGGCACAACAGGAATGTAACCTTAGCTGAGTTCTACAGGTGTTTCCTTAATTCAACTAATACAATTTAATTACAGGATGCCTATTTGTAGATGGTGCTCAATCATGGGATTGCAAGCAGCATTCATGTTTTTGCAGCCATGGACTATTATTTATATTATAACAGCTCCCTGAGAACCTAACGAGCATTGGTTTTCTGATGTTTGCTATGCATGTCTGAATTCCAGTTGTGAGTTTGCAGATACTTGTAATACACGCTTTTACATAAAGTATTAATTACCTGACTTCTCTACTGCAGAATGAAGATGAGAAAATTAGGTTTTAATAAAATAATGTAATATGGGAGCAGATAACTGATTTCCTGCACAAGAAAGTATTGCAGTTCAGATTTTTCAGTAAAGTTTTGTGATTTATAGCTGAAGTTTCAGATGCGTAGCTGAATCATGACTGTTTCTGCATAGAGAGGCAGAGGATTTAATTAGCTTTGCCTTCACTGCATCCACCTTCTTGCATTCCTAGTAGACAGAGACCAGTAACCTTGCGGTAAGATGGTAGGTATCCTTTAGGGCTGACATCTCTGGTATTTCCCAGCTAAGCTGTTCTGGCTTGTGGGTAGTTTATATTCCCACCTGCAAAAATGTATGGGAGAACCTGCTATGTGCACTTGAGAGCCTTCTTTACGCTTACTGTGGCCTGAAGCCACGTTCAAGCTCCTCTGTGGAAAGCACAGTCTCTTTCTATTCATCTGCAGAGCACTGCAAGAACCTACAGCTCTGTATAGGTAATAAATCATAGTGCAGTACTACTGAGAATAAAGCATAAACAATATGTTTGGAATGTGTAAAATCAGAGTGGTGGAAGCCAAAAGGAAAACCAGGTCACTCCCACCCAGGGATTATTTTTGCCTCTTAAGGAACAGTAAAGTAAAACTGTCCTGCATCTCATAACTAGAGATGTGTGTGAGATACATACACACAAAGGCTTGCAGAAATAGGTTTTATGGGTGGTGAAATGTGTGGAGTGCTGAACCTGTTGTCTCTGTGACACCTCTCCAGAGCCAATTCAGCCAATGTGAGTCCAGTGACAAAGATGTAAGGAAAAACCTTTTGGAGAAATTAACGAAGTTATAGCAGCAAAATACTATTGAATATAACATCAAGGTGACTATCCATTAAATAAGGAGATAAGTTAAATAAACTGTTTATCCTAGAGTAATATAGACTGTGCCTCAGGCTGATAGCACAATAGTGGAACTGCTGGCAGGCAGCAGAAGCTAGAGAAGTTAAGATCCTCGAGCAATCCCACTACATAATTTGGAATTACTTCACTTTTTTTTCTACACCATTTGTATATACACCTTCTCCCTGAAGACTGTGTACCTGTGGCTCAAGGCCGTTGAATTCCACTGACTTCAGTGAGGTTAGCCTGCTTTACATCAGTATTGGACTTGGTCCAAAGGCCTCAGCTGCATTCCTGGATTGAAAATGTACTTTCCCACATGGCTGCGAGAGAGAGCCTTCGGGAAAGCAGCTTTAAGAAGAGGTCTACAGTTTTAATTTGAGATGAAAGCAGAAAGGCACCAGGCAGTGAGGGTGCATTTGCTTATGGTCATTCAGTCAAGTGATGAGAAGACAAAGGAATGCATGGTTTGTGGAAGTGTACATCTCTGGAGCTGAATCAGAGCAGAGGAAAGCATCAGTACAATTAGCAGTGTCAACACTATTGTATTTTCAGTGGCAGCAACCACTGGTGCAACAAACACTTCCCCTTGTAAACTGAGAGAGATGCATATGCCAGTCCAAACATGAAACAGCAGTAAAAATCAGAATGTTCTCAAAGGAATTATGAAAGATAATAAAAACATACTGTAAGCACTAGCCTGCAAGCCTCAGATCAAAGCAAGAGTTAGGTCTACAAGAAAAAGAGTGTTTTTCCCCCTCAAATGAATCAGGGTTCTGAATTGAAACACAGTTTTCTCTTCATTTTCTGCTTTTCTGCTGACCCATTTTGTTATGTGGGTTAGGCTTTGCCTGCAGGGACACAGATCGTATAATGCAAGTCATTGGGCAAACTCACCGAATCAGGCTTGAACTCTCAGTACACATGGATAGCAGAAAGAAGAGCTTTAGGATTTTGCTCCAAAATAGATACAAATTTTAAATTCTACAAGCAATCCACCATTGGAAAGAAAAATTGAATTTAGCACTGTCCATGCATAATGTTACTTAACTTTTAACTAGCTGCTGATTTTGCACTTTGATTCAATAGTTGGAAGATTAGGAAAAGGAAGTCATACTGCCTTTTTTTCTCCCAGATCCAGGATATTACACTAATCATTTGGGACTTATAGTCCATGCATTTTATGAAATGTGGGTGCCATGCCTGTGCACATTTTTGATACAACTATATTTTGGCTTATACTCTCTATGGTAAAATATATCTAAGATCAGGAACTGGGACATTGCCTAAGCTGCAAAGAATTGCCAAAACCAAATTTTAGGTAAAATTTGAACTTTTTTAGTTACTTTTGATTATTGTGGAAAGTCATGCACATTTTCAGAGAGAAAGCATCCAGATATTTTTACTGACTAGATGATTTTTTCTTGCAAAAAGCAGAAGTCAACTGGTTACCTTCTCATAAATAAATTAACATGATAAGGTTGCATAGTATTTTATAATGATAATTGATAAATGGTGATGATTTAATTGCACTTCCTCTAGTAATAACCTTAAAATGCTCAAATGAAGTTCCTATGATTGGCTTTCTTCTGAGTTAAATCTCCCTGGAGTCTTCAGTCATCCCTTTTCTACATCCGGCGATAACTTGCTTTAGCGGTTTTAAATAATACAAATCAATTATAACACACAGCTGTTTAACAAAAGTTCTAAATGTTGCTACAGGTCTCTGTGGGTATTTCCTGATGGCTTATAATGACATCAATTTAGCACACCTGGTAAGATCTGTGTGAGCTGGAAGTAGCTTAATTCTGCAATGACAGGAAAATTAAAGAGTATTTATGGATTACTGTTGCATTTCAGAACCATTGCCAACAGTGATTTTAGCTTCTTTTTGGAAAAAGTCAGAAACGGAATTGCAGACATTGCATGCCTGTGTCCTGAATAGTTTATTTGTAACTTGGCGAGTGCTTTTGAGGATATCCTGTATTAGTTATTTCTCTCTACACATTCTACACAAAAGAATGTCTCTTCACCTTTTCAAATTAATGGATGCTAGAAATGTACTCTTTACAAGAAGCTCCCTTCCAAGTCTTTGTAGCTTTTCCTGAACTGCAGACAGAGCTTTCCTCAGTTGGATTTTGCCGTTCAGCTTGACTTAGGATGGAATCACAGCCCTGCACCCCCCATACCACCATGCTGGGTAACCTTCTGGGCTCCTCAGGCAGCCAGCCCTGGTGTTTTTCCTGACTGCATTGCTTTTTAAAAGTACTTACTAAGCCAGTTATATATCAGCCTTAAAAGCAAATAAGAGATCTAGATGTTTGGAAAAAAGCGGGGGGAGAAAATGACATGTATGTCAGACTGAGAGAAGTTGCAAATAGGATGAATGTAAAAATAACACTAAGGGTCCTGGAGAGATTTCAATTAATAGTGGAAAACAAAGACAAGACGCATTCTCCAAAAACTTGGGCAAATGTATCCAGCTAAAAGAAAGTTACGGTAAATGGGAAGAAAAGTCTAGACAAAAGAATGATGAAGTAAGTCATTGTGGTAATGGATGGTGACAAGAGAGACAGATATTTCTCTCACATATACTCTGATATTCATCAGAGAAGTCCAGTACAGTTTTAGGTAAGTACATAGTGGCATTGTGTAAAACAGCTCAAACATAATGGTCCTTCTTTGTGTAATTGAACAGCAGATCCACCACATTAGTATCCAGGTATAATATACCAGAGGCATAGTTAAGTTGGCAGCAGTCCAAAAGTGCCATGGTCAAATGCTAAATGATGAGGCAATTTCAAAAGAAAAAAACCCACAAGTATAGGAAAAAGGTTCACAAACAAAGAACAGAGAGTAGAGAATAGAAATGAAACAAAGGGGGAGAAATCTTCCTGATTATAAAGGTGAACATATTTTACCACATGGTAGTGCATGATTTAACAACCAGGAAT